TTATTTTCAATTATTACAACTGATAGAAGTAAATCTCAAAGGACCTCCAACAACACTCGAGTAAATACAGACCCTTTGTAATGTTTTTTGAGTAATAAAGCAACATCAACTAGCTAGCCTTCAGAACAAAGACGCTTTTTTTGAAAAAATAAAATTATCTTAAATTTAGAGGCCTGAATATGTTAAAAGTATTCAGAATTTAAAATCAGAATAAAAAGAATAAAAATAATTTTGTGCAACATTTCTCATTTTTATTTGTACATTGCATTGAGTTGCTTGATAAATAAAAAACAATTTTTGGCAGCTGTTTTCAAAGCTTCCTCACTTTAGTTTTGGCACATTAGGTTACTATATTTTAAACTCTGTTGCAATGGAAATCAACCCAGTGTACAATTATGTGTTTTGTTTCGTTGTGAGCTTAAAAAAAAGCATTGTCTTATTGTCAACAAGACGTGCAGAGTATCATACAGTGATTGTGTTTATCTCTTTAAATATTTAGAACTGTCTTGTGTTGACAACAGAACTCAGACTGGCTCATTGTAATCATTAGATGAAAACACAGACAGACTGATGATGAAATCGAAGCGAGCAACAGGTACAACTAACAGTGTTATGAAATGCACTACAACTCCTGAAACTTTGCCCAGAAAAGCACCATTGTTTAATGAGTAACTCACTGACACAGCTGAACAGTTCACAGTTTTTTTCTGACTCTGGGAGGAGTTACTGGGCCAGGGCTGGATTGTATTATTGTCTCCACCTTGTTCAACAAATAGCATGAATGATATAAAAAAAAATCCTTTGCTGCAAAAGTCATGAGGATGAACCTTTGGTACAGTCCAGCTTGAATCAGACATGCTGTGATTTCTATCTTTCCATCAAAGCCACAACTCTGTCAGTTATCAGTCCGTCTGTCTACGTCCTAACTGTTTCTGAAGGAGGTCCGTTGTGTGTTTCAGCCACCTTTCAATGCTAAAAATCTACTCACTAAATCCTGTAGATAACCTCCAGAAACGTAGCTGGTCTTCTCTTCCTCTGCTAGATTTGCTCACATCAGTTTCTTTCCAAATAGTGAGAAATAGAGGAAAGTCCAATTTTAAGATTATTAAAATGAACTTAATACATACATAGCATCTACATTTGGTCTAATAATAACTATAATAAAGCCTGAGATGCAGTGTAATTATGCACAAGTTGTTTATGTTTGAATTCTCAGTGGCACAATTTGGTTTCTCTGCAGTAAACTAAAATTTGACATTTACTCTGCTGCTGCATATTTTTGTAAAGAAGCTGTTTTATTTGCTTGACTGTTTCATGAGTCTCTATCAGTTTTCCTCTCAGACCCAAAGCCCTCCATGTGTGAGTCCTCCACCCTGACATATTGTGTCTCCCTGTCCGTTTAGACCCATCTACTGGCTGACTGGCTGGGTAGCAACACTCTGAGGGTGTCTGCTGCCCTCTTTGCAGAGAACCGTTGACGACAGGAGCTGAAAGCCAAAGATGGATTGTTGTCAGAGTCAGTGGTGGTGCTTCAGGGAGGAGAGCAGACGCAGAGGTACTGCACCGACGCAGACGTCCTCTTCAGGCAGGTCGGTAGTCAGTAGTTTTGCATTTATTTTATCGCTCCATAGGGCATTCTGTCAAGGTCTGAGCTTCTATAGCACTTATAATCTCTTCACTCTGTCTTAAATATATGGATCTATATATAGATTCTCAAGCCAAACTGCACAGAAATCCATCTGTTTTTCTAGGATTCTTCTGTCCCCACTGCATAAGCTAAAGACTATATGCAGTTTTGAACAAAAATCAATGGTTTTGTTTAGATGTTGAGTTCTGCATTCACACCTTTTTTCTTGTGTTCATCTTGTGTTTCTCATGTAATAATCTGATCGGCAATGACTCTCCAATCCTGATTATTTCCTGTGTGCAGGAGTTTTTCTTCCACTGGACTTCTGGAGTGACCGAGCCTGACTGCTACGGAGCCGTCCATGTGGACTCTGGGAAATCCATTCTTTTTGTTCCCAGACTGCCTGAAAGCTATGATGGGAGAGTGAGTTTGATGAATCCTTAAACAGCAGAACATGTGTCCAACAGTGAGCTGACAATTATGTTCCCCTCCTTTGGTTCCTGTTTGTATTTGGGTTATTCTATCTCAAATCATCAGGGTCCTCTTGCTAGACCAGCTACAGGTTTATTTGCAGAGTGAAATTTGAGGCTGTTTGAACAACAATATTTCAGAAACTATTAAAGATAAAAGCCTGAAATTTTCATTGTTAGTTCTCATCATGTCATTGATTCAGAATATACAGTTAGATCAAATAACCTTTGATTATGGGTGAGCAGAAGCATGAACAAAAGAAGCCATCCTGAAAAGCCTCATCTAAAAGGCAGACATTAACAAAAAAAAATACTAATGCAGAAGTCAGCTCGTGATGTTTTCTAAAGCATATGTAAATACGTGACACAATAATACAAAACAAAACATACATTTTAAATATAAACTACTTCATCATAAAAATGAAACAGATTGAGCAGGTATGAGAAGTATTGCTGAATAGAATAAGCCAAGTTACAAAATGGTTCTGTTCTGATCTGTTACTCATGATACTTATTGAATTCATTTCCAAATTTAGAGATGCTTGAAGGTGAATACTCAGGTAGTTACTGTGAATATATACTGTGCCTACTTACAGATTCTGAATCAATGACATGATGAGAGAAAACAGTGAAAATTCAGGCTTTTATCTTCAATAATTCCTGAGATGTTGCTGCGGAAATCCCTGGACATAATGTTATGGAAACCTGGTGACGTATGTTTGTTCTTCCTTTATCTAGAGACTTCAAAGCTTCATTTGTCATCTGACATTTATATAGAAGTAAGTGTTGGGTTCTTCATTAGTTTAGTTTCTTCCTTCTAAACTTTGTCCCAAAACCTTCACTTCCACTTGTGTTTTCCCAAACAGCAAAGTCGCCCATCTGTTATGTTTTAAGAGACTGGCCTGTTAAAATGCCTAATGTGTGTATGTGTACGCCTTTTACTATTTTACACTTGTTTTTATCTTTTGCGTGTTTCGTGTCTGTTGACAGGATCTGTTCTAGAGAACATTTCAAGCAGGAGTATGCTGTTGATGAGGTGCAGCACACCTGTGACGTAAGTCTGCTCTGGTCTTTACAGCCGCTGTGGTGGTCTGACCTTTTTCTCTGTGCACTGACTGAGCATTGATGTTGAACCACAGAGCTATGACATTAGTGCCTCTTGTACTGTTAAAAATATTTTTTTAAGAGTTTTGACTGAAATATTTTGAATGATTTAGTGTTATTTTACAGATTTTCCTTGTTTTCTTAGATTCAGATAAATAAAAGGTATTTATTTGTCAACCTGAAAAAAGGCCAAAATTGTAAATGTATTTTTTTATAAATGGCAATTTATAAAACATTTTTTTACTATTATCTGTGAGTACATGCGCAGTATTGATTTAGATTTTTTTTATTGATTTTTTTTGTCAGGGTTGTCTGTAATTGTGTGTTTTGAGAGTCTGAAAAGCCCGATACAGCTTACATGTGGTTTCCATGGCAGCTATATTGGTGGGTTGACTGCCCCAGAGCTATTTTTGAGGTTTTGAATGCTGACACTAATTAATCAGACTGTCACCAGCTTATTTCACACGTTTCCCTACAAGCTTTCACCAGCCAACAAATAGCTAAGAAGTTTGTGTTAAAAATGATGACATATTTTTTTCATTTATTCCCACGTTTACACTTTGTCCTTTTCGTGACTCATTCTGCTGCTGATATTTCAGGCATTTTTACATCTTGGCACCTCGAGGTGTTACATTTAGTATTTACTCACAGGCTAAGAAGCAAATCATCAGCCGATTCTTCCATGAAGGAACAGCAGCTCAACACTTTAAACTAAATTCAATGAGTGCCGACAAATTACACATAGTGACAGTCATTAAGACAAAGAAATCAGTTGCTGGTGTTCAGCTTTAAGGTGTCACTACTGCTTTCTTACTAAAAACTGGATGTTAGTACTTAAAGCAGTTTGATAGTTTCTAAACACAAAGAGTTTGAAGGTGTTGCAGCACGCACATCTTCAACAATCAATTCAACTTTAAATTCAGAAATTTCAGACTTATAAAGTATCTCGCTGGTGTTCACATTCATCACTTTCTTTTGGCAGTTTTTTTTTTAATTTCCATATTTTTTGCATCTAAAACAATGTTAGGTAAATAATAATAGATAAAAATCTAATTATGGGCAACAAGTCACTTTTGCTTTGTCATCTTGCAAGTAAAAAAATAAATCTATGTATATATACAAATAAATATCCAGATTGTTAGTTTTTCCTTATTAGTCTGCAAGTGTCCATCCAGCTTTATTTAACAGACACATTTTTTTTTGCTCCTTCCATTTACAACTTCTGTAGAAGACATGAACAAGTTATATGTTTTCATGAAATATATTTTTTTTTTCAAAAAAGGAAAGAAAATATGCCAGGTTTGTGACTGATTACATGGTTCAGGCAAACTCTACTGTTTTGAAATTACTGTCACAGCTGATCACTGACTTACTGAATCAATGTTGAACTGATAATAATGACTCACAACTGAATTAACAGCTTAACTCAATATTGAATCATTCCAGTCTTTGGAAGCTTCAGTTTATGTTTTAGATGTAAAGAAAGGAGGGTTTTGTGCTTTTCAGAGACAATACAGTGAGTATTTAAGGAATTCCAGTTGTATTAATAGTAGCATCAGTGCTGAGATTTCACCACGGTGTCGGTGAGAGTGGAGTCTGGGATCTTTATGTGGCATTTTGGGTGCTGGCAGGAGTAATAAAGTCTCGTGAGTTTTGTCGTTCAGTGTGCTGTTGGAGAGGAATGGTGGTGCCTGCAAGAGTGACCTTTACTGTGCAGCCTAAAAGAAGATGGAAAGTGGTGCTTCTCGTTGAGTCTGACTCTTCTGATGTTCTGTCTTCATCCCTGCAGATTGCTCATGTCCTGTCTGACCTGAAACCAGCAGTTCTCCTAACACTGGTATGTATCTGTCCCTCCTGCCTGGGTGCAGTTGTACGAAAGATTAAATGACTAGGTATTTGACAGAAACAGCTTCACACTAATTACTCTACTGATCTTTGCTTTATGTTTGCTACCAAATGACTTATCTTGTCAAAAATAAAAACACTTACATCCTTTCAGTTTGCAATGAATGTAATGTGAGAGTAAATGTAAACTCTGACTACTAATTATAGATACACAAGTATTGTATTAATGTTTGAATTCACTTGTTGGTGATGCAATGGTCTGCCTCACTTCCACTGGTGTTATTCTTGGTTACCACTGCTTTAAGTTATTTGTTAGGTTCTATTATGTTAAAATCCCTAATTCTTTTCCCTATCTGGTCATCTCACGTGCACACACATAAATGAGAAAGATATGAAACAGCAGGCAACAACTGGAGTTTAAATCAAAGACTCTGTTACGTTTTATTGTGGGTCGAAGCATTTTCATTATTATGCAGTAGTATATGATAAGAAAGCTTCCACTGGAAACTATTAGGGATGTCTCAATCTGAGCTCAAAGATCAGGACTAGGCCGATCAAAGCATTTTTTTACTGATTAGTATCGTCTTTTTGGAGCACACATATAAGCCAGGTCACTGCTGTCACATGCCATACAGAAGGCGCTCGATTTGTTGCAGGAAGCAGCTAAAACGTTTGCAATGTGGAAATATTTAAAAGTGTAATACAACAGCAGTTCAGCAGCCACTTAATAGCTGCAATGCCAGCACTTTGTAAGGTGCTAGTAACATAGCTGCTTTCAATGGTACCAATTTGATGCATCACCTACAAAGCAAACGCTCACCAGAACACAGTGAGCTTAGTCAGGTAACTCACACAAAGGCTGCTCTGAAACAACACACATGGAAGGATGTGTTAATAAGGAAACAGAAACTTCCTCAAGATAGTGACAGGTCCACAGAGATTATAGAGAGGGTAATAGATCACATTATTGAGCACCTGAGTTTTACAACAAGGTTCCTGACAACCTGCAGGGTCTTTTATCAGATGTAACTACTATTGGCTTTACCACTTTGAGGTGAAAAGGACATTTCTGTCGTTTAATTGAGTTAGTTTGTTATTTTTATGTTGTGACTGTGAATGTTAGAGTTCATCCATGACACCACTTTGAAGAGAAATTAACTGAATCACTCATTTTGACTGTTTTAGTTTTATTATTATAATGCAGCAACAAATGCACTGTGATAAGAGCTATTTACTAAGACATAGTTTAGTTTGTTTACTTAGGTATTTTGTATAATAAAAATAATAAACAAAAAACAATTATGCACCAAGCAGAACTATGATAAGTTACACACCATCAAAAAAAATTAAATACAAGCAATTTTATACTAATTACATTTATTACTAATTACAGAGATTCACCCATCAAAGCAATTACATTAGAATGTTTTTAACACTTCTTAAGTACTCAAAATATGCACTGTACAACCTTGTTTTTTTTTTTTTAATGACATCTGTTTCAGACTCTGTATTGGCAGATGTTTAATATTAAATGACTCCGCTCAGATCAGGGACAAAAAACCTGACATTTCCGTGAATGATTGATGACACCCTGTTTGCCACTTTGCCTCTACATCAGTTACTGTGTTAGATGTGTGTATTAGAGAAGTGAAGTTCAAGAATGTCTGTTTCAGTTGTTGCAATACAGACATCACACTTCTTTAGCTTAATGCGAGGGTTAGATTTTGTGCACTGGTTTGCTGTACATCTACCGCACGTGGCCAAGACAGAGAGCTGCTAACTCACCTCTTGCTGCTGTCTGTATTTGCAGTCGTCTCATTAAAACCAAGATGGAGCTTGAAGTCCTGCGTTACACCAACAGGATTTCCAGTGAAGCCTACAAAATGGTGAGATCCTTCTCAGTTAGACAGGCCACCTGTAAGGGTCAGAAAGGAAGGAAGTCTGTTTGACATGGGTAGAGAGTACTACTGCGACACCTCAGACATCACCTGCTCCTTCCCAGCCAACGGCAAGTTCACTGCAGACCAGAGGGCCATCTATGAGGCCGTCCTAAAATCCTGCCGCACTGTCATGGCTGCCATCAAACCAGGTTATCATATTTTTAATCTAACTAAAAGAAAAGAAGGAAAGAAATGCTAGAAATGTGTTTTTGTTGTTGTAAAGTACAAACCCTTGCAATGACTATAGTGGTGACATCTGACTCATGGTACTCAAAGGGCGTAAAATATCAACATGCATTGTTAAAGTTTAGTTTAAACGTTTTTTCATTACCAAAGATGTTTGTGTTGAATGTGTGAAGTGGACTGACATGCACCGCCTGGCTGACAAGGGTCACTTGGAGGAGCTGGTGAAGATCGGCATCCTGCACGGCAGCATGGAGGACATGATCAAGGTCCACCTGGGCCCCGTCTTCATGCCCCATGGCCTGGGACACCTGCTGGGCATCGACATGCACAACATGGGAGGCTACCCTGAGGTGAGAACACAGCACTTGAAGTTGTTTGCGCACATAACAACCAGATGTCAGTAGTCAGGGCTGTAACAGTGAAATGAAAACACATTACTGTTTCCTGCTAACATGGTGCAGAAGCGAGAGGGTGACAACAAGGCCAAGCTGCAGGAACAAGTTCAGGATGAGGGCAGCAGGTGGGGAAGCGGAATTAGTGTCTGAACACAAGGTTTTGTGCTGTGAAAGTTTTGACAAGTAAGTGCAGAAGACAATTAACCCGAAGTGCTTCCAGTGTTTAGCAGCAGAAGGTGACAGAGAAGGGCTCAGTCAGAGTGTGGATGCATGACAAACAATACTGCTGTGGAGCTTCAGTGAGTGTGATAGTAGGTCCAACAGAAGAGCAACTGGGGGGTGAATGGCCTTAAATGTTAACAGGAGGATTTTGAATTGGACGAGGAACTGAACCGGAAGCCAGTGGAGCTGTTAGAGGACAGGAGCGATGTGGTGGATCGAGGGGGTTTGGGTTATGATATGGGCGGCTGAATTCTGGACCAGTTTAAGTTTATGGAGGGATTTGTAAGGGAAGACCCAAGAGGAGAGAATAACAATACAACAAATATAATCCACAAATGAATCGTAGTGTGTGAAGTTGCTCTAAACCTCAGCTGCAATAGTCTTCAGTAAGACCAGAAGACGAGCTCACATGACACTCATTTTAAAGTCCCTCCTCTGGCTACCTGAATTAATTTTATGGTCCTTATGTTGGTTTATAAATCTCTTACCTCCTCTTTATCAGATGTACATTCATCCTGAAAACCATGTAGAACCCTCAGGTCTTGTAATAGTGGTAATACTGTCTAAAAGAATAAAACTCCACAGTGAGGCAGCCTTTTGCTCTCATGCTCTACGTCTCTGGAACGTCCTTCCTGAAGACCTGAGGGGAGCAGAGAGTTTAGATGTTTTATAAAAGTAAACTCAAGATCTACCCTTTTAGTCTGGCTTTTAATAGATTTTTACTTAGCTGCCTATTTAATTATACAGTTTAGAATGTTTTAACTCACTTTACTGAAGGGATGCAGCCTCTTCCTGTCTTGTAAAGCAGTTTGTGTTTCATCCTATGTTACCAAGGGGGTGGAGCGTATTAACGAACCTGGACTGATGAATCTCCTGATGGGCCGCCTAGTGCAGGAGCGGATGGTCCTCACCGTGGAGCCCGGCATTTACTTTATCAACCACCTGCTGTACCAGGCCCTGGTCAACCCAGCCCAGAGCTGCTTCATCAACAACCAAGTGCTCGCTCGCTTCAGTGGCTTTGGAGGGGTCAGTGTGCTTTTTCTCATTGTGTCTGGTTTGGTCACCAGTGGGATAATGAATAGGCCTCTCACAATTATGTAATAAAGTTTTGCATAAATGTTCCATTATGACTTCCATTCTCCTACATTAAAACAACTAAATGGAAGCTAACAGCAAAGTCATGTTTCGATCACTACTTTCACATTGTTTTCTAGCAGTTGCTCCTCCTATATCCTAATGTTTCAATGGTACCAACCATTTATTTCCAGGTGCTTAACTTACAATATTTACCAAATTATGTTTTGATAAGCTTCTGTTGACACTAACTTCATGGATTCAGTTGCAAAGCTAAACATCACAGCACCTCTGTGGGCACATTTTGGTTTGAAGCCAAATGAAAAAAGAGAACCCACTAACTTGGATAAGGTGATTTGTTTGATTTGCAGCAAACAGGTGGAAGTCAAAGGTGCTAATACCATCCATCCATTATCTATACAC